TGCATTCAAGGGATGAAGCGTCCACAAAGCCAAGAGTATGTGTTGACCTTGAGTTTGCAGGCACCTTATAGACAACGCTGTACACGATCACAGAATTCCCTGCACAGGTGTCTCCAAGTCACTAGCAGGGCCTGAGAGCGTGCCCCTTCCCTGGGTCCACCCCCCTGGCATGGACCCCTCTGTGGGAGTGATCTCCGCTAGGTGCGGTCAAGGAATGGCACATGTGTCAGGTGTAGTTATAGCTTTAGCATACACATGAGGCCCCTGGAAGTGCAGGATGGAGCCTGAGTGGGAGAAGGGGACAGTCCACTGGCCAGGGTCAGGCCTGGAGCACTCCACCTCTCTGCACACCACTGCATTCCAGTGTGGAAATCAAAAGAGTCCAGGAATTCTCAGTTTCGATTTGGCTTTCCAGGTCAATATGGGGGTATGCTTCTCAATGTAAAGAGCTAGAACATACTTTATCTAACTGTGTGTTAACTTAAAATATCCAGTCTTATGTCATGTGAGCTTTCATTTGAACTCCACGAATGTTGGGGGTGGTGGACCTGAGTATTCATTTTTTTTCTTTTCCTCCCCCTTCTTCTTCTTCAGTTGAGATATAATTGATACATAACCTTAATTTCAAGTGTACAACATAGCGATTTCATATGAGTATCTTTTGCAAGTTGATCACCATAGTTAACATCCGTCACCACACATAGTTAGGAAATATTCTTTTTTCTTGTGATGAGCACTTTCAAGATCCACTCTCTTAGCAACTTTCAAATACGCAATACAGTGTTATTAACCACAGTGGCTAAGCTGTGCATGACCTCCCCAGGACTTATTTATTTTATAACTGGATGTTTTCTTTTTCTTCTTAATGATTTGTAAAAGCTCAACATTTTTTAGGGCCACAACTTCTACTTTGTGATTGGCCTGTAAGTTCAATTTAACAATGTTTTGTAATATTCAGAAATTATACTTTTTTTAGTGGTCATAATCCAATTATTTTCTCCATGAAGTCTTCCAAGTAATTAAATTTCTGTCATTCTCACTGTATAAGGGCTTTGATGTTCTTTCTGATAGACTTTAATTTCCAATAAAAGAGCCTCTTTCAGACACATGCTCTGGGCAGCTCTGCCCAGTGTGCCTTTTCTTAGATCTAGATTTCTTAAGTGACATCTGAGTTTCTTGGTTTTGGAGTTTCATTTTGTTTTAGTTTTTGAAGACTTCAAGTCAGGCTTTGCTCCCCCCCCCCCTTTTATAGCATAAATCCCTCAGGGGACCTCACTGGAATTTCCCTAAGTTGAATATTCTTTTAGTTTTATTTGTGCAGGTTTAAGAGTTGGTGAACTATAGCCTGAGGGCCAAATCTGGCCCCCTGCCTGTTTCGGTAAATAAAGTTTTATTGAAACACAGCCATGGGCACCACTTATACATCATTTAGGGCTGCTTTCACACTGGAATGGGATTTGAGCAGTCATGACATATTGTACAGCCCAAATGGCCTCAAGTATTCACTACCTGGCCCTTTACAGAAACAGTTGGCCCCCCTTGTGCTAGACTGACATGCAGCCTGCTTCTTGCTCCTGGTTTTCCTTTCTTTCTTCATGAAAAATAGGCATTCCTTCCCTACTGTCTTTTTGCTCCTGTTAAGTTCTGAACAGTCCTGACTAGTCTTTTATTTATGAATAGAATATCTTTGGACTCAACCAAGCACATGTTTGTTGTTTTTCTCTATTTCATATATCCTCAGAACTAAAATCTAAAATCTATTTTTCCCTTCCATTAAAAAATAAATAAATAAACTTAATTACTTCCCCCCCAAATTAAAAAAAACCAAAAACAAACAAAAAGGGGAGGGTATAGCTCAGTGGTAGAGTGCGTGCTTAGTATGCATGAGGTCCTGGGTTCAATCCTGAACACCTTTGTTAAAAAAAAATAGGCACACCTAATTACCTCCTCCCCCGCTAAAAAATTATTTTTCCCAAATTAAAATTTCAACAAACTTTCAAAACATTTAAATGATGATCCTCCATTTCTCTCTTCCTGTTGCTGCAGATGAGTAATCTCAGGGGCACACTCGTTTATTCACTCTCTCCTTCAAAGGGTCACTGGCTTGTGGGTTACTCCAAGTGCCACTAGATGGCGCATAAATCAAGACTCTCTCCACCACCGCCACCCATCCTTGTTTCAGTCGGAATTTGAGGATCTCAAGGCTGAGATTCTCTCCAAACCACGTGTCTCTCCAAACCAATTAACTCCTGATAAGCCGGGAAAGATTGCATTAGGCCTACTTTCCTTAAAATAAAGTCCCATGTTCTAAATGAGTGCAAAATACTCAGAAATATTCCAATATAGATATATAGTTTTCCTGAGCTAGCAGGTTAATTGATTACAAAATGACAAAACTACCACCAATCCAGGATTTTACTGATGTCTCATTGTTTGAATTAAAACGATCAATAATTTCAGAGTTATTTTCCATTTGATTAACACAGGTGTATCCATTAGCACTGTGCCTGAGCCTGTAATACTATTAGGGGGCCCTCGAAATTGTGTTAATTTCAAGATCAGAAGAAATAAGTGAAACTTTAAGGTGAAAATTATATTTATCTTTATACCAACACAGTCCTAAAATGTAAAAATTTTAAATTTTTATAAAATTTAAATAAATGACAAAATTAATTATATTTAATTGGTTATAATTAATATTAACAAATTAAATAAATTTATCTAAATAAAAACTAAAACAAAATATAAATAAAAATTGAAAACAATTTTTAGGGAGGAAAGCAAAAGTGCCTAGAGCTCATGGAAGTCCTGATGTAGCCCTGGATATTAAGTTTCCTAAAAGTGTTATTTTGTTCATTTCAGATGTTACAGACTGTAAAGGACCCTGTAAATTCCTGGCCCACATCCCCTTGTTCCTTATTTCCTTTCTTACCAACCAGAATTTGAATTCCCTGTACACGAGGTAAGTTTGGAAATACTGGGAGATTAACGTCTTCTGGTTGAAACTTGAGCAAGATGATTGAGGGGGTTGGTGGATAAACACCCCAGTTCTCTTGCTTCCCTCTGGATCCCCCAGTGGGATTAAATTCTAGTTGTCCATAGTGGTGCCAACTCAAGAATGTCCCACGCCACCTAGCTCTACAAGGATTGAGTCATTGGCCACCCCAGTCGCTGACCTTCAACTCACTCTGAAAGGAGTTCAGGGTGGAGATCAGGGATGAAGCGCTGTGTGCTCTAGGAAAACTGGCAGAACAGCCCTTCAGGTAGTTAGATATTTTCAGGAGAAATTTTTATGAACCCAATTTCTTGCATCTTCCTCTACTTAGCACTAAAATTTTAACTAAGGTATCTGTACCTTTGGCTAGCAGTAACTTTCTACTGAGAAGTGTGCTTGATTGCACCGACTCCTCCAAAATCACAGATATGCTGACCTCCCCTCCTCCCAACCCCTCCCCCATCTTTTCCGAGCAGTTGCTCCTAGCTCTCTGAGAGTCTGTCTCCTGAGCTATAGTCCTTAGCAAGGTCCCAAATAAAACTGAAACTCACAGCTCTCACGTTGTGTGTTTTTATTTCAGTCAACAGTGGTGATTTCCTTGATAATGCACTTTTTATTATCTGTTTCCCTTCTCCACTCCCCCCCCCCCACGTCTTTGGGGATGACGTTTCAGATAAACTATTTGCTTTTGAATTCTTGCCTCAGGATCTGTTTCTAGGGGAATTCAAACTAAAGCACTGAACTTCTTACCATCTCTCCCTGCCCCAAATATTGCATCTACTCCTCATAGTTTCCTGTGACTTTCTTTATTTTTTAAAAAAAATTGAAATATATCTGCCATATAACACTGTGTAAGTTTAAAATGTACAACATGCTGATTTGATATGTCGGTATATTGTAACATGATTACCACTGTAGCCATAGTTAGCATCTCTATCACGTCACATAACTATCACTTATTTATTTTTTAGATTTTGGTTTTCATTTGTTTGAATTCAACCAAAGGCTAAATACAATTGGAAACTGGTAAGCACTACGTTTTTCTCCAAAGCAGTAGGATCATTCAGATTTACTCCAATAAAAGTATGCAACATTTTAGCAAAGCTTTTCTTCATTTAAAAGAAAAAACCCAAAACAAAAAAACTATACAGTAGTCTTTCCTTATGTTCATTGTACAAAGTGAGTTCTGCTTTTAGAAATTTGACACTCTATTTTTTTTTTTTTACGATTTAAGGACCCAACATTGATACTACTTCAATTCTACTTCAATTATTTTTTATGATGGGAATAATTAAGACCTAGTCTCTTATCAGGTTCGATATTTATGATACAGTATTGTTACCTGTAGTCACTAAACAGTGCATTAGCTCTCTAGGACTTATTTATCTACTAGTTGCAAATTTGTACCCTTAAATGACATCTCTCCTATTCCCTGACTCAGTCCCCAGCCCCTGATAACCACCATTTCACTCTTTAAAATTTTTTTGAAAATTATTTATTTTAAATGGAGGCACTGGGGATTGAACCCAGGACCTCATGCTTGCTAAGCACACACTCTACCTCTGAGTTATACCCTCCCAGTCCTCTTTTATTTATTTATTTATTTATTTAATAACAAGTTTGGCTTTTAGATTCCACACATAAAGTGAAATCGTACAGGACTTTTCTTTCTCTGTCTGACTTCGCTTAGCATAATGTCAACACATGTCAAAAATGACAATATTTCTTTCTCACTGCTGAATAATATTCCATTGTGTGTATGTATCACATCTCTTTCATACATTCATCTGTCAGTGGGCACTCAGGCTGTTTCTATATCTGTAGATTTTCTTGTCTAATTGAAGAGATGCTAGCTGAGTGATATTAGGAGAACAGTGACCTAACTTCTGAGTCCTCTTTCCTTTTTCGGTAAAACAGGGATAAATCTCCTATCTCTCTGGTACCTGATGCTTAGCAGAGCCTTATTACGTTGTTTTATTCCATCTCCTCTGTCCCCGCCTCTCAGGCTCCTGAGAAGCAGCTGGAAAATGCCACCTGGCCGGTGACGGATTTCATGCTGGTGGGTTTCTCCAACCTCCCGGACCTGAGGACCACCCTCTTTGCACTGTTCTTCCTCATCTACCTGGTCACCCTCAGTGGCAATGTCACCATCATCACCATCATCCATGTGGATGGGACCCTTCACACCCCCATGTATCGCTTCCTGGCCCTGCTGTCCCTTTCTGAGACCTGCTACACGCTGGTCACCATCCCCAATATGCTGGCTCACCTGCTCACAGAGAGCCAGACTATTCCCGTCCCCGGCTGTCGGGCTCAGATGTTCTTCTTCCTGGGCCTGGGGTGCAGCCACTGCTTCCTCCTTACCCTGATGGGTTACGACCGCTATGTAGCCATCTGCCATCCTTTGCGTTACTCGGTGATCATGAGATCCACAGTTTGCCTCTGCTTGGGAGCCCTGGTTTTCTGCTCCGGGTTCTCCGTGGCCTTGATCGAGACCAGCCTGATCTTCTCCGCGCCCTTATGTCGCGGAGACCGTGTGGAGCACTTCTTCTGCGACATCGCCCCGGTCCTGAAGCTCAGCTGCGCCGAAAGTGCCAGCAAAGCGCTGGCCATCTTCTTTTTGAGTATCCTCGTGGTGCTGGTCTCCTTCCTCCTCATTCTCCTCTCCTACGCCTTCATCGTCGCCGCGATCGTGAGGATCTCCTCGGCCGCCGGCAGGCACAAGGCTTTCTCTACCTGCGCGGCCCACCTCACCGTGGTCATTGTGCATTTTGGCTGCGCCTCCATCATCTACCTGCGGCCTGAGTCTGGCGGAAACCCCAGCCAGGACCGCCTGGTGGCTGTGTTCTACACGGTGGTGACACCGATGCTGAACCCAGTGGTGTACACTCTGCGTAATAAGGAGGTGAGGGTGGCTCTCAGGAGGACCCTGGCGCGAAGCCGCGGAGGATTTAAATAAATACTTGCTTTACATTCCCACTCTAGCTTTTTCATGAACTTGTGCCCTGTCTGACACTCAGTTCCCCTTAAAAACTAAAATAGACTTACCCTATGATCCAGCAATCCTACTCCTGGGCATATATTCGGAAGGAACTCTAATTCAAAAAGCTACATGCACCCTAATGTTCACAGCAGCATTATTCACAATAGCTAAGACATGGAAGCAACCTAAATGCCCCTCAACAGATGACTGGATAAAGAGGTTGTATATATATAATGGAACACTACTTAGCCATAAAAATGAATGAAACAATGCCATTCGCTGCAACATGGATGGACCTGGAAATCGTCTTCTAAGTGAAGTAAGCCAGAAAGACAAAGAAAAATACCATATGGTATCACTTATACGTGGAATCTTAAAAAAAAAGACACAAATGAACTCATTTACAAAACAGAAAGAGACTTACAGACATAGAAAACAAACTTATAGTTACCAGAGGGACAGTGGGTGGGGAGGGATAAATTAGGAGTTTGGAATTTGCAGATATTAACTACTATATGTGAAATAGATAAATAACAAAGTCCTACTGTATAGCACAGGGAACTATTTTCAACACCTTGTAATAGCCTATAATGAAAAAATACGAAAAGGAATATGTATATATATGTACAACTGAATCACTATGCTATACACCAGAAATTAACACAACAGTGTAAATCGACTATACTTCAATTAAAAAAAAAGACAAACATTGTATGATTCTGCTTATATGAGGTGACTAGAGTGGTCAAATTCACAGGGAGAGAAAGTAGAATAGTGGTTGCCAGGGGCTGGGGAGTTGTTTCTTGGCTATGAAGGTTCAGTTTTGCAAGATGAAACAGTTCTGGAGATGGATGGTGGTGATGGTTGCACAACAATGTGAATGTACTTAACACTTTATGGAACTGCACATTTAAGCACGGTTAAGGTGGCCAACTTTATGTAATGTGCAGTCTACCACAATTAGAGTTTAAAAAGTGAGGCTATGAGAGGCAGTCAATATTTGGAAGAGAAAGATTAATCTGTCCGGTAAATATCTTGGCGCTGAAAGATCTGACAGCATCTTCCTAGACAAGTGGAACCAGAAGGACTGGTACCACTATACTAAATGCCACACAGCCGCCACACTCTCCTCCAACAGATAGCATCCTCTCCAAGGACACAGCCTAATGAGTCATCCATTCAGAGCATTCTGTTTGAAATACAACGTCTGTCCTTCAAGCCCTGGAATGCCTTCTCATGGCCTGGCGACCTACAAATTAGAAAAACAAACAAACAAACCCCAAAAAACCTTTCTAATCTACATGCAAAACAAATGTTAAAGCCATAGTAAACAAAAGACTTCAGTAGGGGTGTGGGAAACACACAAAAGCCACTGAACTTAGCAGTGAAAACATTTAGTTAGGCAGGCATTGGGAAGACTCCTGCCTCACTGTAAGTTCTTTGTCCATTGTCCTCCAAGGCTCTTGGCTCTGCCCTCTGGGAGGCTTCTCACTGGCTTCTGTTCCCCATCACTATTTCTGAAGTGTTCTCATTTCATTTTGTGCTGGTATGATTTTGAGGACCTCATGGTACAACCTTGGGGCATTGTTTTATATGCCAGATAGTCATGGTCTTTTGCAGGCCAAGCTCATCCTCTGTGTCCCAGGGGTCATTAATCAGAGGAAAGGACTTTGATGATCTCTTCCCTTTTTGACATTTTCAGATCCTATGCTTTCTCTAAAACACCTAACTATGAGGATTGATGAGGATATGAAGGTCTGGTAAGTTTGCTGTTTCCCAAAATGTGAAGATCTTAATGGTAATGTTTTCTGCATGTGGCATGAAAGAAACCTTTGAATTATACAGGCAGAAATTTATTCCCTTTCCCAATTATCTTTCGAGGCTGCTGATTCCTTCAAGGAAAAATTTCACTTTGGTGCTACTGTATCTTTAAAAAAATTATTTATTTACCTAGCAGTGAGTATGTATACTTGTCTATATACACACATGTATGAAATTACATAATTTTATTTTTAAAGCATCATACAGTAGATTTAAAAAACTGAAGTATAGTTGATTTACAATATATTGTGTTAGTTTCAGGTATACAACAAAGTGATTCAGTTTTTACATATATATATATATATATTTTCTGATTCTTTTCCATCAAAGGTTATTACAAGATATTGAATATAGTTCTCTGTGCCATAGAGTAAATCCTTGTTGTTCATCTATTTTATATACAGTAGTGTGTATCTATTAATCGCATGCTGCCAATTTATCTTCCCCTTTGGTAGCCATACATTTGTTTTCTATGTCTGTGAGTCTGTGTCTGTTTTGTAAATAAGTTCATTTGTAACTATTATTAGTTACAAAACTAATTTATAAAAAATTATTATTATTTTTTAGATTCCACATAAAAGTGATATCATATAATATTTGTCCCTCTCTGTTTGTCTTTCTTCACTCAATATGATAATCTCTAGGTTCATCTATGTTGCTGCAAATGGCAATATTTCATTTTTTCCATACTCAACTGCATATATATATATATATATATCACATCTTCTTTATCCAGTCATCTGTTGATGGACACTTATGTTGTTTCCATGGCTTGGCTATTGTAAATAGTGTAAAGTAGATTTTTTTGTCTATAGTTCAATGAATTTTAATTCATGCCACCATAATCACAATCTGAGAACAGAACAGCTCCATCCCCCTAAAAAACTCCCTGTGCTACCTGCCCCCTTTATAGTCACATTTTTCCCTATCACCTGGCAACCATTGATCTGTCCTCCCTCACCATGGTTTTGTCACTGGGAGGCTATCATATCAATGGAATCATATACTATGTAAACTTTTGAAATTGGCTTTCACTCAGCATAATTTTTTTTGAGCTTGTGGATAGAGAATACTTTCCTCCCAAGTTTTATTGAGATATAACTGATGCATGACATTGTGTAAGTTTAAGGTATACAACATAATGACTTATTATTTGTATTTATTGTGAAATGATCACCACAATACATTCAGTTGACATTCACCACTTCATTTAGTTATAAATTGTTTTTCTTGAGAGAACTTTTAAGATCTACTCTCTTAGCAGCTTTCAAATACACAATGTAGTATTGTTAACTGTAGTCACCATGTTGTACAGTATTACATCCCCAGGACTTATTCATAACTAGAAGTTTGTACTTTTTGACTACTTTCACCCATTTCCCTCACCCCTGCCTCTGGCAACCACTAATTGTTCTCTGAGTATAATTATTTTGAGTTTCACCCAAGTTATTGTGTTGCCACATTGTGTCCTTTTATTGCTGAGCAGGGTTCTATGGTATGAACAGTTTAACTGTTTACCTATTGAGGGACATTTTGGTTTCTCCAGTTTTTGGCTATTACCTATAAAGCCCCAGTGAACAATCATGTGCAGGTTTCGAGTAACTTCCATTATTCAAAGTCCTCTCTGGTTTTCCAACTCACTTAGGATAAAATCCAACTAAGTGTGGGGGGACCTGGGTGGGCCCAACACTACACCCTGTGATAGGCATGGGGGAGCCAGGTGGTTGAAGCGTAGTACCCATTGTTAAGGTGCTCCCAGTCTGGAGGCCCAGGCAGCACTGCTTGGGTTCATATTCTGCCTCTACCTCTTACAAAGCTGTGCAACCTTGGGCAAGTTCCTTAACCTCTCTGTGTTTCAGTTTCTTCATCCATAACATGGAAATATTGATAACACATTTCCTTTACAGGGCTCTTGTGAGGATTAAATGAGTTAACATCTCAAAAGGGCATAGAACAGCCCCTTGCACATAGTAAGTGCTTGACATCAGGTAATAGTCACTATCTCACTATTGGCTCTGGGTGTTTATATGGGCCTAAAAGTCCCTTCTAGGAAGTTGGCATTTTACCCTGTTAATTATTGGTGGGGAGAGTGGGGTTGAGGTGGTAGGTGGTAGTGGGGAGAGGGACCAGTTTGGAAATTGTTGGAAAAATCCAGAACAGTTCTCACAGAGTGGCAGGTATGAGTGGGTTCAAGAGGGAATAGGAGGAGGGCTCACGGAGACAGCAAGTATAGATAACTCATTGGAGAAATTTTGCTAAAAAGAGTAGCAAATGGACAGTAACAGGCGGAGAACGTGGGGTCAACGAAGGTTTTTTTGTTTTAATTTTTTTTTTTAAAGCGGGTGAAATGAAAACCTAGGAATGATTCAACAGGAAATAAAATTAGCGATGGGGTGGAATCCTCGGAGGGAAATCCCAGAAGTTGACAAGGGATGGTAGCCGGTGTAGAAGTGGCAGGATTTGTCTTGGAGGGAAGCAGGGCGTTTGGTACCAGATTACTTCCCCTTTACTGATGGGGAGATCATTTTCCAGGTATCAGAGAGCTGTAATGTGGTGGAACACAGGCTGAAACCAGGGACCACTCAAAGCGTTCATTCCCCAGCACTGGGAGCAGGGAAAATTCCAAGGGTGCTGGAAGCCCGCAAAGCCTAAGGGGGTGGGGGCAACAGCCGAGGCGGGCCTACGAGAGAGAGGGCGGGGCCTCTACCTTTGCAGAGGTGAAGGGGCTTGTGTGCAAGGCGGCCGGGCTTGGACGGCCCGGAATCTGCAGACCTGCAACGTGGGACCAACGAAAAGCCGCGGAAGGCGGATCCGCGAGGGTCCCGGCTACTGGAAGAGCCGAGGGGCGTGGCCTCCTGTAAAGAAGGGTGTGAAGTCTGCAGTGCTAGCCAATGAGAAGAGAGGGGAGGGGGGCCTGTGCAAGAGGCGGCCAGTAGAGACAGTGCTCTTATAGGAGGTGCTGGTGTCCTGGAGCTTGGCTACGGCTCGGCGCACGCGCGTCGGGCCCGGACTGCAGGGCGCCGGTGATCCAAGTGGGCAAAAGGGGCAAGGCCACAGGTTCCAGGCCCCTGCCCCTTCAGGCCGTGCGGCCAGTCACGTGACACGAAGAGCGCCGAATTCCTCCGGAGTCAGCGCCATTTCCTGTAGGTGAATGT